AAAAAGGTATACAGATGATTGTATCTGTGTATTCAAAGTGGTTTGGATAGATATATAATTACATCCTCTTAATGAATAGAATGATTCTTATACAGCAATTAACCACTAGGAAGAATATATGCTGTGTGTTAATTATTGAAATTCTCCTACCAATTTGATTTGCAACTGTCTCATTGCTATTTGTTTATCAATAAAATTATGGGAAAAAATTGCAGCAGATCTGTAACAAAGAAGTAGAATGAGTAAAGCAAAATAACAGCAACAATGAAAAAATTTACTATCATAAGTCTCTGGTACTTTGGGGTTCTCTCTTCTTGTAGTGTAACATACCCTGATACTTCCTACACCCCCTAACCATTAACAGAAAAGCTCTCCTGAATGCTCTACCTAATGTACAAAGGTTAAATTTCTTAGTCTGACAACCAAAATACATCTAGTCCTAACCTGTCTTTATCATTTTATTTTCATTTCTTTTGCTTTGAAGAATATTATTAGGGGAAATGGTTAGTTTCATTGGTCACATTCTATTTAACAAAGCATTGTGTGCACTTTAATACTTTCTTACTTGCTTATTATCTCCCGTGTGACAAACTTCTGCCCAAGATGTAATAGAGAATGGGCATGGTCTCATAGAAGGGACTGGCACAGGATGGCTACAAAAAAAAAAAAAAAATCCCACAAAAGCCCATAGTCAGAAACTGACCTAGGGGTTTATAACTAAGACTGAACTAAGAAACATGAGATGGCTTAGTGCCAGGACACAGGGTAGCGCTGGCATCTGGGACAAACTATATAGGCAGAGGTTAGGACCTAAGCTAGAATTAACCCATGGCTGTCAGCTTCTGAAGCAAGACCTATAAAGAATCAAATATCAATGGTTTAAAGATACAATGGGATATTATGGACTGAGTTGTTTTCCCCCAAGAAAATTCATACATTGAATCTTTAATCTTCAAAGTGACTTTATAGGACAGGACGTTTAAAGAGAAAATTAAGATTAAATGACATCGTAATATTGAAGCCTAATTCAATAAAGACGCCAGAGTCACAGGTCAGAGAAAGGCCATGCAAGGACACAGTGAGGAGACAGCCATCTTCCAGGAGCAAGAGGCGCCTCAGAGAAACCAAACCTTGGAGCTCCAGCTCCAGAGCTCTAGTTTGAACTACCTGGTTTGCAGTGTTTTGTCGTGGGAGTCCTAGCAAGCTATTATGTTGAGTAAGCAAGAAAGAGGCTCCTACAGATCAGTTCCCCTACCCCAGTATTGCTATAGACATTCTGCTTTGCCTGCAGATGTCTTCACCCAAGTTCACTTCCTATCTGGGCCTCTTAAGGACTCAAGGGAGTCCTGCCATTGCCACTTTCTGGCAAGAGGTGTGTCTTATCTCCGAGTGAGAGTTATGCTATTTCTCCCCTATCATGCAGCGATGTGTGCTGGCTATCATAGAGAGGCTCAGTGCCTGAGGACTGATAGTCATCCGTCTGCATCCACCTGGCATCAATGCAGAGCCTCTGGGGTACTCACCCTGGCCATGCTCAAGTGCCTCTGTAACATGGCACAGTAATGCATGTAGCCTGGACATATACACTGCAAACCATCCCTAGGTTACTTTTAACAGATGATACAGTATAGATGCCTGTAAATAGTTGTTATGTTGAATTGTTCAAGAATCAATGATAAGAACATCTAGTTAAGTATTTTTGATCTACGGTCAATAGGTTCTAGGAATACAGAAGCTACAGACTTGGGAGGGCTGATGAAATACTGTGTCTTCTGTTCCCTCCCTGATATAGGGTTCTCCACTTCACAGAAGTCTTGAAGGGGGGGAAAAAAAGCCCTAAAGGAGGGCAGGAGTCAGAGAGATTGGTTCACTGATGGACTTCAGGTGTTTACCCATAACTTTCATCAAATTCTCAGAGGAGGGCTGGGGAGATAGTTCAGTAGAATAAGTGCCTGCCTGGCAAGCGCAAGGACCTGAGTTCAATTCCCAGTACCGCAAAAAAAAAAAAAATCTCAAAGGAAATGTCAACACTAAAAGGTTAAAAAAAATGCTACAATTGTACACTGCTGATATCTACTGGTCTATTGAAAGGAGCAGTTAATGCTTAAATTTTTTTCTCTCTCCTTTTCAACTTTGTATAACTGTTTTTAACCAATTTTGTATGCTTATATCTGCTAATCTGAACAACTAATTTGAAGACAATATGTATGCAATATAACAATCACTGTTGAATTCCTATTATTTTGTTTAGTGAAATTCCATATTGTCTTTCCTTTTACTACCTTTCGAAAAGAAAAGAAAAACACTGCTACAGCTTAGAATACTCTAAGCAGTATGGATATGCGGGTAAGGTCATAAGAAGAGTAAATTCTTCATCAAAATTCTCCCATCTGACCTACAGCTCCATCTGGGAGGTGGCTATTGTTGTAGGCTTATTGTTCTCAGATTCTTCAGCTATAAACTATTTTAGAAATCACAGGTTCAGAAACAATAAAAGTTTGTGTACCTGCCAATGAGCATTTTCAAAATGAAATCATACTAAAAGACATTGTGAGTTCTAAACCTTTTCAGTTTTTACTATTCATTTATTTTTCTTACCTAGTTATAAGTAATACCATGGATCTTTATAACCATTTTTGAGGATTAAGAAAAACTCCTGTAAATCTGAAAGTAAAAATTCTCATGTTTTGCTTTGTATAAATGAACTCTTTACACACATACATACATTTATGACATGAATCTAGTTTGCTTTAACCAATTATGTTTATGTTAAATAAATATCCATAAGAAATTTTTTGATCATTTCACAGAAATATGTAAACTTCAGTATTAGAAAAAATATTTTAATTAGTCAAACTTTTTTTGTAGTTCTCTAGCTAAAACTACATTTTCATTGATTTGTTGTTACTACCTCAATTCAACCTCATAAAGCCATCTCAAAGAAATGGGAAATGCTAGTTGAAATCCAAAGTTAGTATTTTGGGTCCCTGGGAAAATCTTTTTGGCCAACTTCAACAGAAAATGTTTTTCCTGCCTACCCTGCAATGTTCTCACCTCCCCAGGGCCCCTGAGGGGCCCCTGTCTGTGTCTTTCACACTTCTGAGACCAGATGTACACAGAGACCAGGGAAAAGCAAGACAAACAGGCCCACTCCTTCCTCCTTCCTCCTTCCTCCTTCCTCCAAGGAGACTACTTGCACCATGGACCTTGGAGAAAAAAAAACAGCCCATTGTCAGAGCCACAAGCGCGTCACATCCTTTCATCCTGTCCCTGCAAAGGCACTTTGGAGTAATCCTGATCTTTAACATTGAGATTGTTCCCAGCTGCACTGCGACTTGTTTTTTGGTTTCTAGGCAAATTGCCCAGTTTCCTCTACTCCTGAATTCCCCCAACTGCAAAATAGAGATAATTTTTGTTACCTTTCTCTTATAGAGTTCTGAAAATAAATAAGGCAGATGTTTCTAAGGTGATTTGAGAGATGTGGCAGAGGGCATATTTACCTAAAATGCTAGTCTGGGTTTTGATTAATTTTTGCTTTATCTTGTGTTGTTTTTGCTAGTTTGTTTTGCTTTCTGCTAGACTTCAGCATACATTTGGAAAATCTAAACCAAACTAAATTAGCACTATTGATCCAAAGTTACTGAAGCATCTATAGCAGGCAGAGCACTTAGGCACCTGGAGAACAGAGGATACACATCCGTTACTGTCAAGGAACTCAACAGCCACTCAGAAAGAGGTGCTACACAAATGACACACAAAAGAGTGACACACAAATGTGACCATCCACCGAGGTATCTGGCTTGGAATCTCACCATACTAGTCCTAGTTGGAGACTCTGGAAAAACTGCTCAGCCTTACCAAGATTTTATTTCCTCCTACACAAACCACTGTAGCTAATAACATTTATTGAGTGCCTACTAGGTAGCCGAGGGTCTTCTATAAAGTTGCTTATATTAAACAACTTAACACTCAGCAAAGCTGCCTGAGATAAACATTGTTATCATTTTCATGTTTTTAAATTTACTTGTTTATTTATTTATTTGGTACAGGGTCTCGCTATGCAGCTCAGACTCGCAGTGATCCTCCTGTCTCAGCCTCCCCACCGCTGGGGTTACAGGTGTGCACCACCATGCCCAGTTTCAGTGGCCAGAACTGTGTGAGGCCAACACAGCATGTGGTACCAGGGACCAAATCCAGGGCCTTGCACTTGCCAGGCAGGCACGTAGACCACCGAGCTATCTCCCCAGCCCCATTCATATGTGATAAAGACATGGAAGCTTAGATTATAAAACTTGCCGCACAGGTCATACAGTCTGGAAGTGGAAAGCCAATGTGCAAATCCAGCCTGCTTGACTTGCAATTCTTCAGTCTTTACCAAGACACTGCAGTGATCCTAAACTGGAAACACAGTACACTTTCCCTCTGATAGACCAAGGAGAATCAATTGATGCAGCACATACGAAGCCGCCAGCACAGTGTCTGACACATAATAAATGTGAAATAAACACAGAAGAGATGACATAAATAACCAGAATGCCATGTCAAAATAAGCATGCACCTCCAGTCTGTTTCACAGGAGAATTCCTTGCTATGGACCAGCCTGGGGCCTGCCTCTCAGCAGGAAGCTATGTTAAAGAGAGGACAGTCTAAGAACTGTAGCATCCCTGAAATAGCAAACAAGGGGTGCACATGCACCTACACCTCCAAAGCTCACTTATAGAAATGTTCAAGTGCTGAAGCACCCTGCTATAAAACCCGGCTGTGTCTGTGAGAACGATTTCCCACTGAGCAACATAAAAATGCATCTGCTGCAATTACCCTTCTCTTTCTTAACCTCTACTCCCCAAGTGCCTTTAGGAAGAAACAACAGCATGAAGTTTCTCTTCAAAGTCTTAAAATAAAAATCCCCCCACCCCCAAAGGGATTTTGCTTATAAAATCTTTCAGAGCTGTTTGCAAAAGAAAAACTGCTTAAGGAGCCAACTGCTTACATTCTGGCCAAGTTACGAGCCTGGAAGAACGAGAGCGTGAGGGGAGGGCTGTTAACTCCCTGTGCGCTGGGAGAATTAGATCTCCCTTCCCTTCAGCCTTGCTCTGCCTGCAGAGCTCGCACGCGGTGCCCTCCGGGAGAGGCCAGGCTGCTAGAGAAAGCCAAGAATTTGCAGCAAAATCAAGAGCAGCCTGCAATGCTTGCTGGGGCCAACCCCCAGCATCTCGCCTCAGTTCAGCCCCCAACCAGCCGACAGAGCAGCAGAATTCCTCCTCCAGTGGGCTCTGCTGCCCTGGGCAAAGAAATAGAGCCAGCAAGCGAAGGGATTGAAAGAGTTGTTCTTGGGCATTTGTCAAACTTTTATTTCCTGGCTGCGTGCAAAGAAGAGATCCAACTTCTATTTTCTACGGAGGCTCTGGGTCCAGTCACCTACCTGAAGGTAAAATTGGGAACGGATTTGTTGTATTGTATAACTGCATTTGTTAAGCTGATTGTGTAATCTGGTAAAAACTGTTTAATATTTTCACCTATAAAATACAAAGCTGTGGATTTATGAAAACTATCTGATGTGATTTACAGAAAAGCTACTTAGTAAGGAATTTTGCTATTTGCATTCATGTTTCTTTTTTTCCTCCTCCAAGGTTAAATCACAAATATTAGTAAATGACAGTTTTAGGCAAGACCAAGAGCAGAAATGTAGAACTGTTGTTAGCCTGGTAGCATTCAGATCTTGGAGAAGCCTGAATCCTGAAGTGGGTCTTATGTAAACAATACTGAGTACTTGTATAAACCATAAAGAAAGTAGTTTCTTCAGCCTTCTAATCAAATCATTCGTGTTTTCTGCGTTTAAATTATCTGAAGTTCTTCATCATCATCATAAGGTCATGTTGTACCTAAAAGCAGCATACAAGAAGAACATTACACTTTTCTAAGAAGTACAAAAATTCCTCAAATACTAGATTATTTGCTATTTCTAAGTTATTGTCAGTTGTCTTTTCCTTTGTTCTCTTTTATAGCCTTATGAATAAATTAACTGTTTTGCCCCCTACTATCATTTGGTGTTAAACCATGCACAACAGACACAAAATTTCCCTAATCCCTAATGGTAGAAAAGCAAAAAGGGGGAAGGAGAACTGAAGAGCTGCGGAGACTTTGCCACGCTTGTGCCATGAGGGCACGAGCATCTCCGTAGGGCAATAATGTTCACTCAGCCCTCCGGGTATGAAAACCTTGCTTTCCACTGCAGATCAATACTATTGAAAGTGCACACCACAAGGCAAAGCAGGAGGAACGGCTCACTGGCACTGCCTGCATCTGCAAAGAGGTGAATGGTGTCACCTTGGTCTTGCCTCTGCTCTCCCCACTGGCCTGGGGCCACAGCAAGCCAGAGATGTTCACTCAGCCCAGCTCAGCAAAATCTTTTTTTAAAAAATTCTCCCTCTTCTCATGGATACCAGCTTTTTCCATTCACAGCTCACTCAGTTGAATCCTGATTGTTGTAACTATGGTTAATGCTGACTACATTTTTTAGAAGGCATCCTTCCTGGGACGGATACAAGTTTATATGTCTGACCATACAACAAAATCTAGCAAAGCAGTATTTTTCATCTGCTTATCATCCAATCAAGTAATGCTGCCTGCCACAATTTGGAAAGTACATACATATTACTCATGAATCTTGTCTTGTTCTTTCAGAGACTTTCTGTACAGCTACAGAACAATTAGAGCACTGGAGATTCTTGTGCTTCATTTCTTAGCTTTTTTTTTTTTTTTTTTTTTTTTTTTTTTTTGCTAGTACATGTTTACAGTCCATAATGATGCCATTCACCATGGGAAGTTGGTACATGGACATAACACATCTTAACTCTTTTTACATCTCCTTTTAGGATTTAACCCAAATAACATCTTATAGCAGTTTCTCATGTCAAGTATGAAAAAATAATAAAAAGTGATGACAGAAATGAAACTGCACACTGATCTATCCGGGCAACTCACTTCCTTTCCTCTTGACTATTATTTTTATTCAGTTGACTTTACACAAACATTGCTGTCTTAGTTAAGTTCTGCGCAATGTACAGTACATGCTGGGTACACTTGCTCATCAAGAACATAACCCACTTATTAAGGGACGCAGAGTGTGCTTTACTCTCACGTATCACTCTAAGAGCCCCTAAGTCAAGGATGAGGGCTGCCTGAGAGGCAGTACCCCAGCAGTACCCCAGTCTGGCTCATAAGGGTGTTGCAGGGTGTCTTCCTTCTGTCAAGAGCTAGCCTGGCTTTGTCAGAGGCACTGAAAGATGGCTAGAACTCTGGAAGACAGAGCATGTGATCTTGACTGATTGCTCCAAAAGTATGGAGCTGGTCATTGAAGTAAGACCACGGGCTCTTGTTTATATGTGACTACAGAGATCTGGTTTATACCTGAACTTTACCATAAAAGAGCTCTCAAACTTCAGACTTTAACTACTCTGTGCTCTAGTCCCCCTATTTGTAGAGCAAGGATCTTAAAATGAGTAGACACTCCAGATATTGGATGTGAGAATTAAATAAAAGCAGCTGTGCCTGGGACCTAGTAAGTACGCAGCTAATTACTTAATCAATTAACCACTTCCTACAGCTAGTAAGGAAGTGTTGGCCTAGCTCTGGAGCCCTGCTGCAGCTCGCACGTGTTGCTCCACAACAAATGTCAAAGCCAAGTTGAGGCCTCTGAGCCAGCACCATGGCTGGAGCCTGACTCTGCCTCTAGGAGCTGAAGCAGCCACTGTACACTTCCAGACCTCAGTTTACCCACCTATACAGCAGATGGGTAACATAATACCCTCCAATGAAGGTATCGTAAGAATCAAGTGATTTATATTTTAACTATCAAACATAGAGCCTGGTAAAATTGGCACACAGCAAATTTTATTGGTTTCAGCTGGAATGACGCCTCTGCTAATAAAATGGGAAACCAAGAAAAACATATTCTTTGAGTTGTTGTCTTTTTAATTCAAAGAAATGTAAAGATAAGCCTGGCCCCCCAGGTTTTCCCTGGAGCCCTCTGCAGGAGGTATTTGTTACAGAAGGCTTTATTGGTCCTTCAATTAGCAGCTCCCTAATGGCCAAGTCAAATGAAACCAGGGAGCTTTCTGCCAGCCCACATGAGGCCCGAGGAGACAGGCTACCCTGCGGTGGTTCCTGCTTTATTAGCCTACTTGGACAGGGGAGAAGGCCCCCAACATTTTTCCTTTCAGATCTTTTCTGAAAGAAAGAATAGGGGTTTTGACTTCCTCTAGGGGATATTTTTGCCTCTCTCACTGAAATTCAAAGGAAAGGAGTTGTTTGTGTTTTTTGTTTTTTGTCAAGCTCTCCCCTCTGTTCCTAGCATTGAGATGTCAGCTGCCTTTCCTGGATGTGGAGCAGAAGCAGCCTGTCGTCATAGTGATGAAAAGGCACAGAGAGACCCGGCGTCATGACCAGCTCTGTGAAATAGCTCTTAGTCGGCTTTAAAATCCTTCTTTAGAAATGAAGTCTCCAGTCCTGGCTTGTCTCCTTCCTATTATGCAACAACTTATGTACACTAGTTGCAGTAGCTAAATGTTTCCTTTAAAGATTCCGTGAATAGGAATTAAGAAAATGAGCAAGAACACTACTAAAAGAGTGGCCAGCCTACTGGGAAAAATAACTGGGAAAGCAGAGTGAGACAAATAGAAATGATCTCACTTAGTAGCACATCAAAAACACCCCATAGTCAGCTGGCTTCACAAGTTCTCCCTGGCTCCTCCATCCCATGATGCGCTACCCCAGCACCCTTATTCTCCAGCTTTTTAGCCCTACCCATTCTGGGCCACTGTGTTCTCATCTGTATTGCAGAGGTGACAGTAGTCCTACAATTATCATGTGAGCTGAGTGAGATGCTGCAGCTGGCTGCTAAACTCAAGAGCTTCAGCTTCCCCCACTTGTGAAATTGAGGTAACAGCTGACTCCTAGGGTCACTGTAGGATCAGTGAGGCACTGAGGTGAACCCTCAGGAAGCAGCAGTTGTTACAGTTCTCTTAGGTCTCATTCCCATCAGAATGGCTTTTTTGAACCTAGTGAATAAATTGTAACAGTGGCCCCAGAAATATCTTTAGGATAAGTGTGAACCATTTATTTTGCAAACAGCAACATTTCGTACATTTCTAATGAGGGATGGAGATCCTTCCCATCTTGATTAACACTAGGGCTAAAGATATTAAAACATCTTACCCCTCATGAAAATGCTTTCTGTTAAAATTTCTGCCTTGACTTCTCAAGAGTTTTCTAGGTCATGCAATTATGTAAATAAGTAATATTTTTATCTGGTGTCTCAAACAACAAATGTATCCAGTGTCCCACATCCTGTAAGTGCCTCAGATGTAACAGGAAGTCAGGCGAGAGAGCTGCTGGGTTCTTGTGGCATTCACTGTCCTTAGGGAGACAGTCATTAATCAGATCATCATGGTAGTGAAAACTGCATGCGACCTTGAACACAAAGGTTCATTGTTTGGGTGAAATGTTTTTGCCAGCCTACATGTACCAATGGGTGATGTAATGTATGCTTAAATTACTTAATCTATTGTCGCATATACATATTAAAAATTTCATTTTATTTTCAATACTGTACCCTCATAAAAAGTATTCCATTCTCGCATTTCATGAAACATGTTTTTAAAACCCTGCATATGCACCTTTGGCATCAGTGTCTGTGAATGCCAGATCCACTTTGCAATTATCTAGTCCTGGACACATCACCAACCCTTCCATGAGTTGTTTCTAACACACCTTTAAAAAACGTGCAAGTGCCACAGTAGCCTTCCTACTGGGGCAATGCTCCCCACATTTTAATTACGTATGATATCACTTTCGGGAGTGCTCTTCAAAAGGCTTATGTAAAGCCACTCGAATCTCCAAGTGTGGTTTTTCTAAGATTGTGTCATTTCAACACTTGAATAATGAAGTACACTTGAGAATAATGACTAGATCTGCTTTAAATATCTGAGCCTCCTTGATCCTCCAGCCTGTCAAGGTGACCTTGTGAAGAACAAAAGCAAGCATTGCTTGAGATCATTTCAGATTATTTTCCTGAAAGGTAGTTTTTTATTCAAAAGGTGGTAATTGAGACAGTGGTCTTTAATGTGTGATACTTTAGAAGCACTAGGGTATAGAACGAATCCCAAATAACATGATTGAGAGGGGAGGAGAGGTGAAAACGTTCACATTATATTCAAACACATGTTGTTATAGTTATATGCTAGGACAAGTATTATGAGAACCAAGCACCCACAGAGAGTATATAAGAAACTGACATCCACTCAGAATTGGTGGTGGATTTCTATGATCTGAAGGCTGAATGGGGGTTGATTCCTTAGGAGGAGGGCATTGAAAGTAGTGGATGATTACAAAAGAGTCTTCGAGTGTGAGCATCTTGTGCAAAAAGAG